AACAACAGATGGGGATTTCCTTCCTGATTCACCATCAAGACTCCTGCAGGCTAAGCAGAGCCAGCCTATACCCATTGCAGCTGGTTTCACTGCCAACGAAGGCTCCTACCTACTACTCTTTGGTGCCCCCACCTTACACCTGCAGAACGCCAGCAACGTCGGTATGGAGGAGCTGCTGCAGGTGTTGAAGCTCATCGTGCCAGGGGCACCAGAAGAAGCCGTCCAGGCTGTGGCTTGGTGGTACAGCCAGGAGGGGGAGAAGCAAGGAAAGGCACAGTATCGATGGGCCATGGAACAAATTGCTGGTGACTACGCCATTGTGTGCCCAGTAGCCGAGCTGGCTAGGCGAGAAGCAGAGGCCGGCAATCCCGTGTTTGCCTACAGCTTCAACCAGCGCCCCAGTGGATTGTCTACAGCAGAATGGACAGGGGTGCCACATGGCTCTGAGCTCCCCTATCAGTTCGGAACTCTGTGGTCCCTGGCAGGAGCCAACTCCACGCACACAGAGGCTGAGGAAGTGCTGAGCCGCACGGTGATGCAGTGGACTGCGGAGTTTGCCAGGACCGGGTAAGGGAATCCCCCACTATCCTCTGATCCCCTGAGCCAGACCATGAGAGCAGCTGTCACTCTTTGGCCAGGGGAACACAACATCCAGGAAGACCCGTCTCAATGCCATGGCAAAGCATAGGTCTCTTTGGAAAATAGTTAATCTAACTGGTTGAAGCTCATGACCTGGAGCTGATCTTACTTCAGGGAGGTAAAATCTTAGCTCCCTGAGTCCAAGTTAGTGATAATTTCCTTCTTCCCTCACCAGGATATCGGTGATCCCACAAATACACACATCCTCATTCAAGGAAACATGGCTTTTAGCTAGTAGCCAATGATCTCAAAGCTCTGCCTGCCCATTCCCAGCCTGGCCATACAAGCTGAGAGGATGTGTCCATGCTCCAAACACTATACAGCCCTGGCTACGTCAGCTCATCATGTCAATACAGCCTGCAGCAACCAGGGCCGGCTCTAGGTACCAGCAAAACAAGCTGGTGCTTGGGGCGGCACATTTTTAGGGGCGACATGGCCGGCGCCAGAATGCCGCCCCTGCTGCCCCTAAAAATGTGCCCCGGCCGCCATAGCTCACCTCAGCGATTCATGCGCCGCTGCTCGCCCTCCCTCCCAGGCTCTCAAACCTGGAAGGGAGGGGGAGATCACGAGCGGCCACAGCGCGCGAAACAGCTGATTCGCGCGCCGCT